AACGTTTTATAGCAATGCTTATCAGTTTTAACATTCTAACAAATTATTTTAATGATTCAACAAAAAATTATATTCAGATCTGTTTTTAGCAAAATTTTTAGATCTTTCAACAAAATCGTTCTTTACGTATACATATATATGAAAAATAAAGATGATTTATTATTTATGCAGGATAACTCATTGATAATAATTTTAAAATATATTACATTACGTATTACATTTTGTTAATATTAATCGCAATTTGCATTGTTTTTCGGCCAAGTATTATTGGCTTCTAAAATGATTATAAAGAAAATTACTATACTTTTTATTTATATTATTTCTATAAATGAAATATTTGGAAAATCTATGCGTTAAAAATATTATAAATTATTATTAGAATAAAATTTGTCTTTGTGTTCGTCATATATTGATGACCATTACAATTTCCATTGAAAATAAAATTTGCGGAAGATCGAAAGGGATGTGCGCACGTTTCTTCTACAATGGACCGTAACATTACGTGGACGGCTAACAGATACTGATGCAATCGAGCACAGCGATAGGTATATGGAGTGCGACACGTATTTCATTCGGGTGTAGATCGTATTCACGACGAAGTAAAGCGGATTAGGATCGTGTGCTTTCGCGGGATCGGACACGATATTTCGTCGTATTGAAGCGGATTAGCCGCGTTCACGCTGATGCCGATTAGTCGTATTCATGCTGATTAGCTGAATCCATTGTAAACCATTGATGACAGCGAGAATTACATCGATTCTGCAGAAAAAGCTGCTTTAAACAATATTCCGTGGCAATTGTGCGTAAAACAAATACTCATTTAGTTATTAATTAAACAGCTTGTTAGTACATTTACCATATACGTTTCATTTCTTTCTCTTGTTATTATATATCGGGCGTTTTTAACAAACATGAATCACATGCTGAGCTTTTTGTAATGGAAGTTTGACTTTTAACGCATATTTATCTCTGTATTCTATAAGAATCTTTTTCTTTTTAATTTTTTTGTATACATTCAATCAACACGATAATAAGCTATATGCTTGTATAAACAATGATTCATAAAACTGATCAAATCATTTTTATGAATTTCATTTGAAAATTCGTGAATGACTGTAGTAAGGTCATATTTGTTTAAATGTTATATTGACATTAAAAAACCGTTTTGACGTGTACGTTGATTGGTTTTTTTTTTAAATTAGTTGTAGATAATTGTGCAGTTTTGATCAGTTTTATGATTGGAATATTATAATAAATAAAAAACTATCGATTTTCTATGTAGATATTTTAAGATTTCCAGAAAACGATAGAGACGAGCGTCGTCGCGAGGATCAGCTTCTATTTCTGTATGATTATTTTTACGTTTCTACAGATGGCTATCTGTTTACAAAATCGATACGCGCGTCCGAGATCGCGTCACGCCTGCCGTATACGTCGTGTTAAACGGATAAAAATTTTCCGGGATGTATGCGACTCAGGATACGCGGACAAATGAGAAATGGTGGAGACTGTTGTGCTGTTGCGCGCCTGACGCGTCGGGAGATTGTATAGTCTATGACGCCGTGCTAATTGCACGACGATGTTGTACGGGGGGAGGTAGCTTTTTATGCCGCGACTGCTGATGACATCCCCGCTGCGCGCAGCTGACCCTCTATTATTTCTCATCGTCGACTCCCTATCGGACGGGCGAAATCCTCTCTCGTCGAATCGCGCATTCAGCACGCCATGAATTCTTGAGTGCGAGAAACTCACTCCACGTTCGGCCACTTGAACGGGAATATTAATTCCATTTATTTATAACGCGTTTATTAACAGCGAGGGGGACTTGGGTATTTTTGCGACATATATTAAATGTCGATTATTGTTACGGACGATCGCTCGGGTCCGGAAATTCTTCTTTTTTCTTTGAAAGACTTATTTTCCTTCCCGCGCTTTTCTTTTGCTTATATACTTCTTTCCCTCGAACTATTTTTCTTTCAAATTTTAATTATATAAACAGGTATTTTCTCTCCTCGAGTCCCTTTGGCATATCTCTAAATTCAGTATGCTCGCGTCCGCTTGAATTATAATCTTTATTATTTATTGTTAGCAAAATATAAAAGTATAAAAATATTTTACAGCATCCTATTATTTTTGTAATAACAGTATAACAGCGTATTGAGAAATGTAGAAGCATTCACGAAGTTAGGTGTAATGTATTACATCTGCTTTACAATCAAAGCACATGATCACAAAGATAGACAAATAGCTTTCTGAATATATATAATACATGTATAGAAATGTACATGTATGTGATTCTTACTATCACAGTACAATGCATACATGTGGAATACATGAGTGGTGAATAGTATTATATTACATTCCGTTCACGTACACGATAGAAAGGTAGCGCGAACTGATAAGATAGAAGAGTTAACTGTGAAGTTTTATTGCATCGTCAAAAAGCGCGTGACTTTACGAGTCAGTTTCGTTTCCTGTACTGATCTTCGTATTGATTTCGCGTGCGAGTGATTTATGATGCGACACACGTTGATTATGATCAGATAAAAGAATGAAATAATTTTGTTGGAATGCGAGAGATACAATTTTTGGCAGATTGACATATATTTTTCGTAATTTATGTAAGACTTTTATTAAAACGTTTAAAATTTGCAGAATTTAAAGTAAATTCTCGTAGCGTATTAATATTTAATAAATAAATGTCTCCGCAAGACATAAATATTCAGACGTTGAGTATACGAACAGTCAGCTGCAATACATTTGTCATTTTGAAGTAATTAATCAATATATATTAAAGCGTGGGAATGAATGCATATCGTATAGCTGCCGAATGATATACGACGTGACATTCTTTTTATCGGCTCAGCCGGCTATATGGCTGCATCTCACGTAAAAGCTGAATATATCCCATCTCCATTCCATTCTCGATCGCATTCTGCACTCTCGAAGGAGGGATGATTCAATTCGACACAGAAATAAGGTTTCTCGTCTAGATAGAGATGGAGGGGTATAGATTCTGGCGACATCAACTGCGTTTAGACTGTTACTCTAGTCTAGTCTTATCTGTGCATTATACTACATATTCTCTGTACATATTCTCTGTTGTTCTGCTTCGATCTCCTTTTTTCTCTTTTGATGTTTTCCTTATAATTGTTCAAATGGTCTCATCGTTTTTTACTTTTATATGATCAGATCTTTGTATTTGTATTAATGAGTTTTTATGCGTTAATATTGATCTCGTGGTAATCAAGTTATATTACAATACGATAATAAATTTTTTTTCAGAAACGCTTGTATAGGTGAGAGAGAGAGAGAGAGAGAGAGAGAAATGAATAAAAATGAAATTTTTACATTTTAAAGTCTTATTGAAAGCAAAGTTTTGGACAAGATAAATTTTTTTCAAGTTTACAATCTCTTCTCGACGTTTACGATATTTACCTATCTGATATTATTGTTGATTCAGATGCTTGATACAGTTGATTCGATATGCTTGTCGATATAATCGATATGTTTGACATGCAAATGAGTTTCCGTTTCTGTTTACAATTAGTTAAAGTAATTTTCTCTGACGATTTAATTTCTTGCGGTAAACATATTTAAATTTTGTAGATTATGCTAAATGGATGAGAGGTGTGTACCCATGCTGTGATATTTGTGCTGCACTATATTTCATTCAAGCGTCAAAAGGAACTTTATGAATAATTCGTGGTGCTCCCGCATACATTGCGCAAATCGGATACGACCTGAAAAACGTAGCCGAGAGAAACGTAGTTCGCGAAGTTTGTAGTTCTGACGTTGACACAACAATTTTATTTATGGCGCGGTTATTTTTAAAATTCTATAAATATTCTATAAAATATTCTATTATAAATAGAAAAATATTTTATAAAATATTCCAAAATATTCTAAATAACTTATAAAATTCTATAAAGATGCTTTCGTAGTAAAAGAAATTAATGCTATGCAATAATAAATGATACGTATAACATTAGCTAGTAATTTATTTAAATAATAGCGAGTATATCTCGATCATCGGAAGATAGATAAATATCGCCAAGTCACATTTCGATAGTAAAAGTTCAGAGTTTGCAACAGCTGTTTGTCACGTAGCCGTGCCATCGAAATTCCGAAAAGGGGGAAGTCCAAAATTTACTCGTCCATAAAAAATAGTCGAGCACAAGGACAAGAAAGTACAGCAGCCCGTAAATCACGTATAGTTTTATTACGAAGTCAACCGATAGCAATTCCTGGCTTTTCTGAAGACCCTCCATTCTATTGCGCGCGAGCACGTAAAGAAATCTTCTCGTAACAAAAATCGTTTCGCAATTCACTCGCTTATAACTTTTGCATATAACGACGCATTTAGTTTTGGCTGCTTTCGAGACAATTGCGAGGTGCAACGCTTCTTTCCTCCTTTCTCTTTCTTTCCTTATCTGCACTGTTTGTGACTGCTCGTGCGTGACAGACTCCTTCGATCATACGACCCGCGATTGGGAGACGATCGGATGCTGGTACGAGTCATCAGAGTTTTATCGAAATCGCCGCGGTTGGGTATATACTCGGTCGTTTCCGTGGTGACTAGCAATTTTCTATGATCGACGTTCCTGGTTAACGAGACCAGTCGTTTCGCGCCGAGATCGACGATGCTTTCCTCGAGGATCAGCACCTATGACTCGCTCGTAAATTCATTGCAAATGGCCTCTCTTCGAACGCACTTTTGTTGCTGCCGTAAAATAGATGCTTGATGCAGTAGTGATAAAAGCATCGATCGATCAAGAGGTCAAGGAAGGCTGTATCTTATACCTTGCAAACTTTGAAATGTGCATATTATCGGCTGCAAGGCTCCCAATATCTGCGCCAACCATTTTGGCTCCCGTAAAAGCGGAAATTGCGAAAATGTAGTTTAATAGTTCTGCCAAAGTTTATTCAAACGAAAAACTTTCCTGCAACGAAATTGTTTCTGATTTTATAAAGAAAACTTGTAAAAATTTTGCTACTAATTCATAATAAAATAATAATGTATAATATATTATAATAAATTAAACGAAGAGGATTCTCAAAGTAATCTTGAAAAATCTTGAAAAATAAATGTTTAGAAATATTTTTTACGCTTTTTGAAATAATAAAATTTAAAAACTTTACATTTTAGAATACTTTATCAAGTTACAATAAATTTATTGATGAAAAATTACATACATGTAAGTTGTCTAAACTATTCATGTATATTTCTTGACAATTTTCTCATTTGTTTTTTTACTTATTGTTAGAATAATAGCTACGTATAATTACATATAATCACGTTAAATAATCGGAATGTTTATAAATTTATATGAAATTTAATCTCTAAAATTATAGTTATTGAGTTTAGTGTGAAGTAGAAATATCAAGATTACTTGTAGAAAGAATATGCAATTTTACGAAGGAATACATATACCGAAAAACGTGCGTTCGTTAGTTTCTGAGTCCGGTTCGGTAACGAAGCGGTAGCTCTTTTGCAAAAAATCCTCGCGCTGAAGAGATTTGTGCCATCGACTTCTCGATACAGGATATTCTCCGATAAAACGTGAGTCGCGTAAAGATTCGGATAGCGCCTGAAGAATGCTTGGCAAACAGCAATCTAGAAATAGGAAGGTATCGTCATTTCTACGCTTTTCTTCATCGAGTGTATTTGTTAAATTGCATTATGCATATAAGATCATTGATTGAGAATAGTATGATCCCCGAGTAGCATTAATTATATTTTGCCTTCAAACGTTGCGCGTGTATGAAACAATATCATAATAATTTTTTTTAATGGAAGTATCTCTTTTAAATTATCTTTATTTTATAACTTTGAAAGTATCACTATTAAAATTAATAACACACATTTACCAATAATTACTTATTCAGTGTTCTTTATAGCGCCTAGTTATTCGAACTTTTACAGAGTATCTGTTTCACTTTTTTCATTATTAATGAGAAGATCCATTTACGTTCCAGATGGATTTATTCACACATACTTATTCAATGAATGACATCCGTTTTATTCCTCTTCTTTCATGCCTCTTTCGCCGGAAATCCATTAAAGAATCGTTACGTGCTTGATAAATAATATGGGTCTCCTCATTAAGGTAACATCAATGACGGTAATGCTCCCGCAATTTTATTCTTCTTTCTAGCTGGTTCATCGCGAACAATAGCGATGGCTTCGTAGCTTGGAATATGGAGCAGCTTCGTATTCACTCCTAATAATATATATACGCGAATTTATTCATGGCTATCACTTTTCATCAAATGATTTATATTTTGAACGACGATATCAATTGCTAACTGCTTGCCATTAAATGAAATATCGACGAAACGATTTATTTCATATCAACGATAAACGATATCGATTGTACGACATAGTAATGTAAATGAATGATTGTTACATATTTTACTCGTTGTCAAAATGAATATTACCGCGTTAAACTGTTCTTTTTCTGTGCGGTTGCGAGCTCGTTTTATCACACTCGTAATTCCACAAATTTCAAAATAATTGAGACAATTTTTGGAAGCGAGACTTTTTCCTAGAATACAGAAAAATTAGTTTGTAAAACGAGAGATAACCTCTAGTTTTTTCGACGATCGCAGTTTTTGTTTTTCGCAATATTTTTTGTATTCCGAATAAAATTGGCATGAACATTTGAAAATAAGTGACACACTGCAGGAATATGATTTTTTCTTCTCTTTCTACCCTCGGAAGAGTTACATTTTAAGAAGAAGTGAATTTTTCTTAGGGTCTTGAAGTGCACGAAACAATAGTCTTATAAGAAATGAAATTCATATGATAGCGACTGAAATGTTTGCCGTGTAATATCGATAATCGAATTTTGCAAGTTATAACGTCATTGTAAACTAAATTACGACATGCTTTCGCGCCTTCTCGAAGAGAAGCCAGAAGTAGAGAGAAAATATCTTACATCGACCCGTGTTAAAAGAGATAGCTGAAATACTGCTTGACATTATCTATTTTCAACATATATACATCGATTCGAGTCTATACGCGTCGTTCGCCAGCGTCTGCGCCGACGATTCTCCTTTGTTCTTGTTTAAATAGAGGGTGGCGGCCAAAAATGGTTCGGCGGCTGTGCTTTTATCGTACCTCATTTCACAAGCGACGACGCGTTTACTTCGTTCTTTTTCATAAATCCTGATATAATATCGTATGGCGAGGCATCGTTCGCCATACCTTTTAAACATTTTTCTTGCTCATTGACATTAGCCTCACGAAATTGTATTATTTCCTTTTTTTCTTTTCTGTGATGTAATTTGCATAATAATTTTTGCGTTACGCGTAACGCATAATGCAAATGTATAGAATGCTTTATTTATGTTATGAACGTTTAAAACTTTTATATCTGTGAAATTTTTAATGTCTTGGGTAGATGCAGAGATTACAACAAGTCATAAATGTGTTTTCGCACTCGCAATGATATCAAAATTAAAAACGAAACAGAATATGCAATAATAACAAATTATATTTATATATATATATACTTAATTACCTAATTACTTAAATTATATTTAATTATAAATAAGAGAGGTATATATTAATTTCTTCTCAAGTTAATTTCTCTGATATTAATATTGTCTGCTGTCGTCCATGCAATAATAATATCTGATTTATCTTCAGTCCAGTAATAGAATCTATTACATACTCTCTCTCTCTCTCTCTCTCTCTCTATATATATATATATATATATATGTCATGTTAGACGTTATATTTCAGTTTCACTAGGAAATTAATATAATAATATATTTCTGTCTTCAGCGTGATAATAATACGTTATCGAGTGGTTCTCGTGATCGCGCGAACATCATAACGATGATACACACAGCACTTAAGTACAAATTCTGACTTTGTTGCCGCTGTTTAAGCCGCATTCATTATGATACCGGCCGTCAAGCTGCCCCTTGGTAGCTTCGAGGTAGTACGTTAGAAGAGAGAGCCAGTCTAAGCAAGTGTAGCGACGGCGGTCAAGCTTGTAATCTGACGGCGGTGGGTCGTCTGGTCGGTCGGTCGGGGTAAACGGTCCATTAAGACCGGGGTAACAGTTAGTGGCCGTGCTGCAGGAAGCAGGTAGTTTACTAATGCGGCGACGAGAGGGAGGAAACGCAAGGGATCCCCGCAAGGGCCGTTATCGGAGCCAAGTTCGCTCAGCGATGGCGAAACCTCTGACGGTGGCTTTGCCATCGCTGAGCGTACTTGCAACATTGATCGTTTTCGCATGTTACGATCTAGTTTTTACACAAATATATAGGCGTGGATTGTTCTTAACATATTTTAGATTGCTCTCAACATATTTTGAATTGTTAAGCCTGTAAGTCATTATCAGTATGTTTTCGTTTAATATCATGGTACATAGATACATCTTACATTCTTTATTGGATTTAACTCGGTGTGATTCGGACACATATGTTTCATCGAATTAGCGCGGCTGGTAGTTTCACACGAAGGAAAACACATGGAAGCGTTGGGCATGCGGGAAATGTAACCAGTAATTGCTGATGCGTAGAGGGTAGCAGCCTCTTAAGCGTACACGAAGCCGCGTTGGGGTTGCTCGACCTACGAGCCGAAGTTTGATTACTGTTTTCACAGCGAGGCCACAATGGTGGGTACATACGTAGCGGACTAACAAACTGGCGTTCCGTGCTTTTGCGTACAATCCAGATCAGGAATTTCCTTTGTTCTCAGACTTCACCTGTTGTCGCCTGCGCCATAGTACAATGTGTTCCTAAGATTATGCATGGCGTCACAATTCATTATTAATTAATCCTATGCAAATATTGATAAGAAGGTAAATGAGTAGAACTTTACGTGTGTGAATATTTAAAGAAATTTAGAGAAGATTTTAGCTTTATGATAATGAGATTGGATGACATTAATTTCTTTATCTTTTAATTTTCTCATATTTAATATTTGAATATCTAAATGTAATATCTGCTTGAGATTAAGTGAAATTTGAAGATTTGTTATCTATTTGCATTATCGTAGGAAACTTTGTGAAATATACTTTTTTATTTTAATTTATTTATACCTAATTTTAATTTTTTCGACATAATAATTTTACAAGACGAAGAATGGATGCAAATTATATCTATAATTTTGTAGTATTATGGTACTTACTGCTTTTCTGTTTCTGTTTGAATATTTCCTTTGGGACAATTCAGGAAATGAAGCCCGTAGAGGACGAAGATTCAGTCAACTTTGGTGCTGTGTTTGCGTATTATTGTCTACTACACAACATACACATTTACTACTAAACACAGAGGCTTCGTAGAAATTTCAAATAAACCCGAGCCGGTGCAGTACGCTGAATAAGATTGTCTTTTTACAGTCTTTTCTTTCACTTGGAAATGGAATATTAAGTTAAATTTGTTCCTGCGCATTTGCGCATAATCTTCATTTTGTTTATAAAGCTTTTAGTTCGATCAACATGCTGGAATCTGATCTCACGAAAGAGTTTAATGATAGCAAATGTATAAGCTTTTATTCTTCTTTCTGATTATTTTAATACAACGGTATAGTATTAGGATGACTATCTCTCGTTAAAGATTATACTTTTTCTAATTCTGATAACATTATCGTTTCTACGCTAATATCACTATCACGTGAGTGTATAGTTTTAATACACTACACGATTTTATTGATCAAGAGAAATTCATTACATTACGCGAGATCGCGTATAGCTGATTCTCTTATCGTAATTATGCGACGCTGAGCCTTTGTATTTGATCTTATCATGTAATTATCGAATTTCGCATAAATTTATTCCAATCTTCGCTTACTCTTTTTCCACCACTACTTCGTCTCACTCCTTCTCATCGTAGCTTTCGTGCTTCGTTTCTTCTTTCGTTTCGGCCAGCGCCGTAATGAATTTGAGACGGTCATGTCCGTAGGGAGAATTTCTCTAGCTAGGTTTTCGGGATGAGAAAGAATACTTCCCGAAGAGGAACAACGAGGTTTGAGTTCAGTAAACTTTGATTTCACCCGCACGTGATTACTTTCGCACGAAATCTTGTGTTATGATTTTTTCTCGAGCATGCATCGTTAATAAATTTTCTCCTCCCATAGTACAGGACATTTTCCTTTTGAGAATCATAGTTTTTCGCGTATTGATATGCTTTTGTTACATCTAAGATATTTTTATGATCATTTTGCGCGTTTATATGTAGTCGGTTTTTATCATGCTCGATATTAATCCATTTATGGTCTTCAACAATCAAATCTTCCTCAGTTTGTTTTTATGCAGGAAGAAATGTGAGGGAATAAGCAAAATTGAAACGTAAGGTGTCTTAATGACATCCTTAAGACGATTATACATATTAATCCATTTATGATCTTTAACAATCAAATCTCCCTCAGCTTGTTTCTGCAGAAGAAATGTCAGGAAATAAACAAAATTGAAACGTGAGACGTTTTAATGATATCTTTAAGACGTCCCGACTTTGTCTGGAGTACCTTTGATTTTTTTTGTTAAAAAAATGTAATGAATATTTTTCCCCGCACTCTAATATCTTTATTTTGCTTTTTCGATTTTTATGCTTTCTTTTTACTGTCGGCTACAAAGTATGTATTTTATTGCGATTGTATTCCTTTTCCATATTCCCTTCTCTCCTCCTTATTTTAAGACTTTATATCGAGTTCTATGTATATTTTGCTTATGCATACTGCATTTACAGTATATTTGATTACGAAATATTACGCGTACGTGCGTGTAATGGCGCGTAGCACGTGGTAAATGTAAAAGCGCAAGTCCGCGATATTGGAGTTTCCTCCCTCGTGTCCTCGTTCTCTTTTCGTCGTGACGGTGAGGCGCGCGCGGCGCGATCATCTTCTGCGAAACTTCAGAACGAGAAACTGAGCACAGGCGAGGAGGTCAAAGGAGTGCGAGGCACGGGGGAATAATATGCGACGGCTCTAGAATCCGTAGTTTCGCACGGGAAGGGAACAATGGACAAGATTAATGGCAAATGGGGCGAGTGCAGGGCAACGCGAGGGATGCGACAAGGGCACGCGGAGGAGTGGCTTTGCATAATTTGTCTTTTAGTAATACCTGAAATTCGATGAGATTGATCTGCGAAATTTGGACATTGGGAACAACCTACGGTAGAACTTAAATGAAGAAGTAGTAATAAAGTACGAAAGCAGATTTTCGAAAAACATTGAAAAAAATGTCGACACTATTAAAGAAAGCATAAATGTAGCCATATACGTAAATATTTTAAATCGTTTAAGCTATTTGACATCTTACAGTTACGTGTCTGATTAAATTATCGTTGGAGCAGTCCATTTCTTTTTTTAACTTATATGAAAAGTCGAGAATCAATTTTCCGATAATAATTTTATTATGATAAATTTAGACTTAATCTGTCATTTGAACAATTAATGAAAATATCTAGATGAAAAGTTGAATAATAAAAAATGTAAAAATATTAAAAAATGTATCTTTTCAAATTTTTATTATCAAATCGTATTCAATATTCAATCGAATATAAGTGAAAATATATTAGATATAGTTTTCATCGTTTTCAATAGTTTTTGTTGCGTGCTATTCATTTTTAGAATTGAAGCAATTTTTATTATCGATATTTATATTGATGTAAAAATATAATTTTTGCTGCCTCTCTATGCATATAGTGGCACAATTTTCCATCGCTATTTGTTGTATCTGGCTGCAATTACCTATATATGTTACGGTCATTTACCAATTCGTGTATTTTCAAGTGAGGATGTTTCAAGGAGCGCAAAGATGGTATACGCGGCTTGATGAAGAGAATTCATCGTGTCTTTGCGGTTATTGGTTAGGCAATTTGTTTCTCGTTTGCCGTC